TTGACCTTTTTATGAACATAAGTTCTCCTTTTTGTTATGGCTCTCTTTGTATAGCATTACAAATGGAAACTTCAATTCTTAATCTTGGGTTTTAAATCCTAAAGATTTCTTAGATATATATGTATTTTATATACATATATATGATACATATATGTAATTATATATGATACAAATAGTCTAATATGTATGATACAAATAGTTCAAGTTTTTTTCTCTCATTGTACTTCAGCCTGTGACCTTTTCCTTTGTACTTTTTGAACCTTGCCTAAGATTTCCTTCAGTCTTTTATGTAAAAATTAACTTTTAGTTGAATATATTTTTTCTGACTTTCCATTTGCCTGTTTATGATACAGTTGTTAAATGTACCTGCTTCTCATAATAATGCACACTGTTAGTTATCAGAAAGATGGGCCCCAAAGGAAAGTGGATGAGTGTAGGCATCTCTACTTTTGGGAAACCGGCTCTGAATATGAACTCTGATTCCTAGTGGCTATGTGAAGGGGACTTTGAGTTATAGGATGAGTAAACCATACTTTTCTTGTCCTGATATGGCTTACAGTCTCTCTGAAGGGATGGAAGAAGATAGACAAACCACAAAGTTGCTGCAAATGAAATTACATCTAAAATTTTTCTTTTTGCTACTTGATGAGGGACTTGACTTTACTTAATGAGGGACTCACTGACCAACATTATAAGTGTTACTGCTTGCTTTTATGTATCTAAAAGGGTACCACTGGATGGAAAATTTAAAGCATAAATTAGTGCCTAACTCAGAATAATATAAAACTCTTTTTAGAATCTGCAGCTGTTTAGTCATTAGACTTGTTGTATCTTTTTCCTGGCTAAAATCAAATCTTCAAATCTATACCCCATTATCCAAAAATAGAGAATTTGATGCTTCTGGTTAAGATTTACACTTACTATAAAATTCATATTATAGTTAAAAATATATATATAATCCCCCCTATTGTAGTCATTATATGTAAAATAATCATGCTGATATATTTTGCATACCTTGACATTTTCATGAAATACTTATAAAATGTATAAATCAGGCCTTTGTGATTACTTATGCAAAGGTCTGTTGATTATTAAGCGTACATTGGGTATCTTTGGAAAGGTTAGCTCTTAGCTATATGTATATAAAAATAGTTAAATAATTCTTAGCATTCTGTGTATTTGAGCAAGTATGAAAGCAAGTTACTGTTTTATGTATTGTGTACTGTTGTAAGAGTTTAGAGTTCAAATTTATAAATGGATATGTCTTGTCTTTTGTGAATACCATATGATGTTGGACTATTTCAGGCCAAAGACCATACTTCATAATTTACTGAAATAAATGCTGTCTAATTAAGAAGGAATAATATAATTTTGGCATATATATGAAAACTCTTAGCAATGAGTGTTAAGCTTTTATTTATGGCTCCTTATGACTATTCACAATTGGAAGATACTTTGGTTTGGACCTTTATCCTGCATATATGTATTGTTGATTTTATTTGCATGTGTGTTTTGAAGTGCCTGTGAGAGAGCAAGCTGTGTTCTGCAGGATGCTTTTCTGAGCAGAAGACCAAAAGGGTCATGCTCACAACAAGACAGAGAAAATCGAATGAGGTTGAAATAGAAAGATTTAGGGCGGAAGATACAATTCAGTTGTAGAGCACTTGCCTAGCTTATGTGAGGCCCTGGATTCTGTTCCCCTTACTGCAAGAAATGGAAAAGAGAAAGGAAAAAGGAGATTCAGTAAAAACCTAAGGAAAGAGAGTTTGTACACAGAGAAAATGGAGCACAATGCTTATTGAGCCTAGGACGGGGAAGTGCTGCTTTATGTGGTTCCTTTATTGTGGCTGGGATTGACCTATGTGAAGTTTTTGTTTGTTTTGAACTAGTAGGTGACATACGCACTTGAGATAGCTAATTTATAAAGTTGTTAACATTCCATTGTTGGTGTACATCTTATAACTAGGCAACAATAATAGCATTGACTTAAATTAGAGAAAGTAAAGAACATAGTGTTACAGAACGACAAGGACTTGATTTCTACAGAGGGATCCAAGGTGGTCCCAAGGATCTGAATGGAGCAAACAGGAAAAGCTTTGGTATTGTTTATCTGACTAGAACCCTTATAAATGTTATATAAGTTTGAGGGGATAAGTAATGTTATTAAAGAATAAGAATGGCAACAATGAAAAACCTGACACTATTATATACTCCATATAAGCACTCCCATATACCAGACACTGTAGTAGATGTTTTAAGCCCCACGACAACCCTGCTCCTACCCCTATGTGACAGGTAAGGAAACTGAGTAACAAAAGAGCTGTGTCACAAAGCCAAGATCATGTAGCTGATTAAGTGGTGAAACTAGGCTGTTGGTCTGCCTCCAGAAATTGTTAACTTGAGTGTGACATGGGGCTGTGAAGTATCTGAACCTTCCACAGGGTGTGCACAGCAGAGTGAAGGGCCATTTAAATTGGTGAAGAAGATGTAGGCAGACCTCCTAGAAAGGAGAGGTTTTTTGTTTTGTTTTGTTTTGTTTTTTGAGACAGGGTCTCACTATTTGAGACTGATCTGGAACTCACAATATAGCCCAGGCTGGTCCTCCTGCCTCAGAACCACGTGCTGGGATTACAGATGTGCGCCACCACACCCAGCTAGAAAGGAGAGATTTTTAAAGATACTACTCACCAATAGTGTAAGAATCCATAAAAGAGTCCATGATAATAAAGATTGAGAGGTGAACAAATCCATTTCATTTAATAAGGACATTTATTAATGATTGTTTTGTAGATGAAATGCTATGTTGAATGCCAAATTGGAGAGGTTAAGAAGAGGGTAGATAGAGAAAATCTGGAATGGGCCATTTTTCTCTTTGAGTCTTGAGAAATTGAGATTAAGAGTACTAGGCAGTAGAAATTTGATTAAATATTCTCTAGTCAGGAATACCCATATTTCCTTCTATGAAGAGGCAGTCTTGGATCTTAGTACTCCATTGTCACAACTTGTTTTTAGCTATAAGGCTTCATTTTTAGCAACCATTATACATTTTGAATTAGAGATTCCTTTTCAGATTAAATTTTCTTTTTTACTAACTAAATTATAAAACTAAATGAGGATTTGGTTACTTTTTTTTTAAACCAAACTATTTCAAGGAGATACTTGAGGAAAAGCCAATGAACAATCACCAGCTTTACAGATTATTTATAGTATTTCGGAATATAATTTACCTTTGGCAAATGGCTGCCAAAAGTTATTTTCTTCTAAAATCAAATG